TATCCCCAGCTGAAAGTCCTGCACAGGCACAGACACTGTAGGCAGATAAGACCCATGTGCTACTCAGCAGGAACAGTTTGTGTCTTGCAAAGTATCCTGGTTTTAGAGGAGCCAGAAATATAAGGGAGAAGATTTGCTTTTCTTTTAAAAATAGCTTGTTCTAAGGAATGTCTTTTTCAACCCTGAGAGAATACAACATGTAAGGGATACAGGACCTAATAACCCACCTGGAAATACTTTGTATGGAAAAGCAGTTTAGCCAGTTTGGGGATTAAGCCAAAGAAGTATCAGACAGGCCTTGCTTGATATGATTTGAGTTTGTGGCAGTTTTTACAGCCCAGCAGGATTTCCCAAAGCTGAGGTGCTTTTAAGCTGCCCGTCTGTGTGCCTGGCCCTTTTTGCAGTCCTGGCTTTTGGCCAAAGTGATTTCTGTTTGTGAGGGAGTGAACAAGTAAGGATCATTACAACTTGGAAGGAGCTTGGTTCTTGCTGGATGAGTGCTATGAAGACATAGAATGGGACAAAACAAGTATAGAAATGTACCACAAAGTGGGAGCTGATAAGGACATGGCATGCTCCTGCAAATTTCAGCTGTTTAGGACATGGTTTGCAGGCTGTGGGACAACTCTTATGCAGAAGTAGGGGAATGTGGATACAGGAAAAGAAGAGATTTCCAGTAGGATCTGTGTGTATCTCCCACTCTGAGGCAATCGGACATCAGCAGATCTATATTCTGACCATGGAGGGGTGGCTTGTCTACAGCTGTGATTCTGCTCCTCATTGTTCCTGGTGATGAATGACCATACACTCATACACACCATAGGAGCAGCAGCACAGTGTTAAAAACTGTGAATTTTCAGAAGTCAACAGCAGAGCCTGCATTGTACTCTCTTTGAGACAAGGGAAAAGCAGTTGGAAAAGGTAAAGATGGGACAATTCGTAGCCTTCCTTGCCCCCCCAAGTATTTTTTTCAAGGTACAAGAGGACTTCTAATGAAACTATCCCACTGCCTGAAGGACAAAACAAATCAACTCTGACATCCATGAGGGTACCCAGGTAGCATTTCCAAATGAAAATTTATGGGTCTTTTAGGAATATTATTTTGGGGTGAGGGGAAAGAGAGGAGGAAAGAAGAAAGGCAAGTTCCATGGAAAGCTGCTGTTCTTAATTGAATCTAAAATAGAACTTCTTGGAAGTTTACCAACCAGGCATTTTTGTGTGGAAAACACTAACTGTGCAGATTGGGCACTGTCCAAGTTAAAATACACACCAGTACTCGATGGGAACAGTGTTGGGGTCTAGATCTGTTGACTCTGAAATCCCTGCCAAAGAGTCCCTGCTACGGCAAGACTTGGGACTTCACAGCAGCTGTTATTTTTCTACAGCACATTGTAGGTCTGGCTTTGGGTCTCCAACTGTGCATCCTCAGGATTTCAGGGAGGTGTCAGTGAGTTCTGGAGTGTAGCTTGCACTTTACAGTCAGTGTAGATTCAGTCAGTTCACTAACTGGAGTCCCAGGAGTTTGTTTAGTTTTCTGAGTTTGACACCTGCATTTGGAGGGATGACTTATACCCAGCACTGCACTTGCAGCAAGGGAATGGAAGGGAAGGGATGTTGGAGTGTGGTTTTTCAGAACTGTGGTTTTCAGGATAGGTTTTTCAGTAAAAAGACTTTTTTGTTCAGTCCAAGTGTCTTCTTTTAAAGAATAAATCCATGTCTAGCATGAATCAAGGCACAGAATGAGCAGAAAACAATCTAAGAAACTGGACATTCCCAAGAGTGTGATGGAATTAATAATTTTCTAGAATTAAAGGATTTTTACATTGATATGTATTAGGGTTGGTGTTCCACACAATACTGATGCTTGCCATGAGTTTTTGGGCATTGGATGAGGACAGGGAATGGGAGCACAGCTTTCAGCTTGGGAGGTTTCCTCCTCCCACTCAAAAGACCCAGACTTAACCTTGCTGTACAATTGATCTCATGCATGGTAAAGAGAATTTTGATATTTTTTCCTAGCCCTCTTCAAACTCTTTCTCTTTCTTCCATGCTTGCCATGATAGTATTGGAGCACCCACCTTTTCCATCTGCTTCTCGACAAACACCTACACATGCAATTCCTCTGTGCTTCACCTTGTGCTGAATGTGATGCTGTTTTTGGTGAGTCAAATCCAATAAGGCATCAAGATGATTTGACTTGTGCCTAGGAAGAGCACGGTGCTGAAGCTCTTCTTTGGTTCTGCACCATGAAGAAACCCTTTATCCAAATGGGTTTCTGTTTCCCTGCCTCAGCTGTCCCTATTCTCACATCATTGCTCTTAGAGGTACACACTTCATGTACCTCAGCAAGCAAGGCTTTGCACCCGGGGTTGCTCTGAGAATACATTATTTTTTTTCACTGTAATTTGGAGGGAGAAGCCTGTGTTTGTATTCTTGCCTGGGGCACAGCATAGCTCTTGAGGAGGACTTGTATTTCTGGTTTCTTCACAATACCAACTTTATCAGCCAGTCTAAAGCTGAACTCCAGTTTTTTCGAAGAGGGTCACAACAAACTTGGCTAGAGCCTTGTGCCAGTTAGCTGGACCTACACACAGCACAGCCACTTGGTTCAAGCAGTCTCTCTCTCATAAACACATAGAGCACCTCAGTATCCTCTTGCTTCTCTGCTTTCATGCTCCAGTTTGTCAGAAATAGGAAAGGATGCAGTAGATCCAGTGTATTTATGTTTGAGTATGTACCTGTGTATGAAAGGTGTGTTAAGTACAGTTCTTGCTTTTGGATAGTGTGAGCTAGCACCCTTGCTGGTGGTAACTTCCAAAGGGGAGAGGAAAGGCACAGCAGAGCTGATCCCACATGGTGTCATCTCTGATGGGGCAGGAGAACTGCTAAGAGTTATACTCTTAGCAGATCAAAGCTGCATTCCCTGGTGGAAGCTACATTCTCTGGTGGAAGCCAAGTGAAAGCTTATGTGTCTGTTTGGCAGCATGTCATTTAGATAGGGATAAGCTCGAGACTAACCCAGAAGCTAATGAGAGGGAGGAAAGCGGGAATGTATTTGAAAATGCCCTGAGAAGAGAGGCAGATAACACAGAGGAGCCAAACCTGTCTCTCTGTCCAAGTACTGAAGTACTCAAGCTTGCAAATACAAGGGAGTCATGTGATTTGTGCTGGAGCACAGGCACCTCTCCTGCAGAGAGGGCAGATGCTGCACTTGGTCAGGATGTCTCATGGAGAGAAGCTGAGTGCTGGGAGAAGGATGGGAGGTTTTCAAGGAGAAGTACAGCTCTGAGAGGCAGGGTCTGGCATGAAAGTGTGAGCAGACTGGGGCTTTAGTTGCTCTGTAAAAGCTAGAACATAGCAGCTGAGCAGAAGAGTTAGACTAAGTGTTTTTTATCCACAGAGAAAATACTGGAAGGTAGTGGCTGACCCTTGGGAATAGGTTAAGTGAGCCAGAGAGCAGCAGTGATAAGAGGGTGGAGGTGTTATTGATGCACTCCCTCAAGGCTGGGCATGTGCTCCCTTGTGTCTGTGAGTCTAAACTTGAGGAGCTGATTCTCTCTTTTTTTAAGGCTAGCAACTTATGGTAGTGTAAGCAGGCCTGTCTCAATGTTGAGGTGATGGCAAAAGATTTTTTTTTTTTTTTTGAGAAATGGGGAGTAGGAAATATTTGTGAAGTGTCCTGTGCATTTCTGAAGTGTAAGGATAAGTAAGAGGCAGTTGGGAACAGACGTTACGGTTTTGGGATCCCTGAGTGGGCAAAAGGTTGGGAAGACATCAGTAGGGTCTTGAAAGATTCTTGGCGGGTAGCTCTGGGCACCTGTACAAGGTGGTCTTGCAATGTCTCTGCAAGGGCAGAGATGACCAAGCAACCTGAGCTTGGTGTGAGGCGAGGCATAACAGAATAATGGACAAATGGTCTGGCACATGCCTACACAGCCCCCAGACCAGCCAACTCTGTGCTCCTCAAGGGACTTACTATAACTCAAAAGAGAATTCTTTACTAAGACCACTTTTTTTCCTTTATAAAAGAAAAATCAGTGCTTAATCGAAAGCACAGTGTAAAGCAAATGAAAAACATAAAGTCACAGTGCCAGGAAGTACAGACCAGACCCATATCCCATGAGAACTAACCTGCTTGTAGCTTTGCATCAAAAATATTAATCCATTTATTGTCCATTAAAAATTCCCTTTGTGTGTTCTCAGTTGTGGTGCATGCTTGAGATCTTAAAGATGGCACTGTCAGTCCTTAAAGCAATATTTGACATCAATTTACTCATTAACTTTCAAATGCAGGACACTGAAAACCTTTTCCTAAGGGCATCTTTGTGTTCTGTTTGAGAGAGTTACTGTTGTTTTCCCACCTCCCCTGAAGGGTTGTTTACAATACCACCTCTGCCTTTTAATCCTCTTTTCCTTTCATGTCTAACAAGCAGTGTTAAACAGAACATGGGGGGAAAACAGATCTCACACATTATAATTATCTATAGTTAACTGAAGAAATGCTTCACAATTTGAGGTCTCATTTTGTAGATTACTGCTCAAGAAGCTTTTTCCTATGTTTTCCATATAAAACCTCTGTTCTTTCAAGCTCGAGGTTTGTATGTATAGTAAGTCAGAGTTGATGTGCACTTTGTGCAGAGACTCAGCTGCCACAAACAGGATTTTCCTTATGAGATCCAGTGCAGAGGGATGTCTTGAGATGTACACACAAGAATGTGGGCAGTACTAAGATGTTAAGCCATGACAGAAAACATTACATTTCAAAACTGGCTGCTGTTTCTGTTAGTTATTTTTAGTTCCCCTTAATTTCTGTAGCTCTTTTTGCCCTGTATCTGAGCACTTTAAGACTGTGAATATATTTAGAGTAGCAATTTTTCTGTGGGGAGGTGTGGGACTCCACATTACACAGATCTGAGAGGCTATCATTTGATGAGCACTTCTTTCAGAAGCAGCACCAACATAAGCATCCCCTGATTTCCCCTCTCCCACCACTCACTCACCCCTCAGCTGTGCCAGTTTCTGTGCTGTGTGGGAAACATATCACAGAACACATCCAGGTTAAAAATAGCTGGAAAAGAGAGAGAGAGAAAGAGAGAGAAATGAATTCCAGAACATGGGCTAATATCCTATATACACATCCACCTTTTTAGCTCAGATTCCATCTGTCTGTTCAGCTCCATCAATAATTTGTACCTGATTTCACATAGGACTGAAAGATAGAAATTTCAATAGCTTCTGATTTCCTCTCTAAATTTTGTTCAAACTGATGGCTGTGTGAGGGGCAGGGACCTCAACTAAAGAAATGCAGCCAGCAGTCACCTGGCTAGCAACTATGTGCATGCTGGCTGCCCATGTATGCATTAGCTGATCAGCCAGCATTTGTGGACCTCACTGCAGCCCAGGAAAGGCTCTTAGAGCATATGAAGAGGGAAGAGTGGGGCTCATTGCAGCCTGAACTTTTATAAAATAAGACCTCTTCTGCATGTGAGCTTGTAAATCAAGTGAGCCTGTAAATCATACAATTTAGGAGGAAGCTGAGAGCTTGGCCTCACATTCCTGTTGAGACTTCAGTAACCACTTCTGCTTTTAGCACTCCGAACACCAGTGGAAACGACAGATAGTGATTTCTTTCATGTACTCAGATGTCACTTAAAGCACTTGTTTCTCCTGAGTAACTCTTTTAAGCACTTGCTTCATTTCTGTTCCTACCTGCCTCCTTTCCAATCTACTACAACTTGCCAAGAGCTGTGCTCCATTCTCTTCTTTTGTATCCTTCATGCCTCCCCTCTGACCAATGGATGGCCTCAAATTTGGTACAGGGCAGTACACAAAATGTGCAGTGAATTGTATCTGAAAATGATGAGTATTTTGGTGCAAACAAAAGCTGGCTCTTCCTGTCGACCCCTTCTGAGGGAAAAGAGACCTTGGGTATCCTCACTGCTTTTGCTGATCTGCAGAGGAGACTGGGTGGGATGGGAGCCACAGGGTGGAACAGCAGCCATGAGACAACCTATGAGCCGTGGCTGTAGTCCGTGGTCAGAAAAGGCTCTTCATGTTCCTGTTCTGAGGTGTTTTTTCAGTGTCTGGTTGCACATGCAGGATGCAAGAAGAGCTGTGTGGCTGCTCGTAGGGGACTGTGTGTCAGAAGCACACACTATCTTTGGCAGGGGAGCTTTCATCTGATAGAAACTGGGTCTACTCCTACCATCTGTGGTCTTCCCCAGTAAGAGAAATTATCATTGCCATGGGCAGGTCTTGTGTTTCTCCAGGTGAGAAACTGGAGGTTTTGGGCAGTTGGGGATTTTCCTGGTGTGCGAAATCCCTGGGTGGCAATAATCCACTAATAATAATAATAATAATCCAATAATCCTGGGTGTACTGGGCTGTGTGCCATCCCTGCTGCAGACACCCAGGAACATTACTAGGAGTTGCACCCAGTATGATCTGTTTGCAGGTACACCACAGGTCTGGAGCGAGGTGTGATGGGAAAGGCCTGAGAAGGCTCCCAGGGAATCTGTCTGCATTAATTCCCTTGTCATTGCATACCTCTGGGTGTACTCCAGTCTGCACACTGGGGGAGCTGCTAGAGCTCAGCTCAGCTCCTGCAAGAGAAGCACCTTCATAGTCCTTCCTAGCACTGATTCCACTTCCAGAACTAGCTTCTGTAGGGGATTTTGTTTCCCCAAATGGAAGAATATAACCATTTTGCAAGGTACCACAGGGGACCTGTAAAGGACATCTCGAGCAGAAGCCAGGGCTGCCTTGCTGGAAGAGAGAGCTAGAAGGTCCCATCCTCTCTCCTCACCAGAAACAGGAGCAGGGGAGGTGCTGGTGAATCTTTACCAATATGGAGCAGCCTCATGCAGAGTGGAGTGGCCCTTACAGTGAGTGATGTTAGGATCTTGCTTTATTCTTGGGTAACTACCGAATTTGGGGAAATGGTGGCAGGGGTGAATGATCAGAAGGCTGGCAGAAATTGTGTAATTGGTGTATCAAAGGTCTTTTTATTCTCCTCCAGTCACATTTTAACAGTATCCATTTTATTCTATGTGTCAGTAAACAACAAAATTGTTACTGATAAAACTTGCCTTAAGCAACAAGACACATGTGAACAATAAAGCACTAAGCCACATTTTCAGAAGTGTGTGTGCAGAAATGTCTATTGTACAATGTATAAGCAGCATGTGGTCTGGATGTGGCAAGCAGCAACGGGAGAGGAAAAGGGGAACAGATGGAACCTGTACTTGAGTGACAAGAGCGGACGTAGGCTCAGATCAAATTTTGTACTCTGCAGAGGCTGAGCTTTTGAAAAGCCTTAAATAACAACCACATTTTAAGGAGGACTGCACTAATGGGACATGCAGATAAGCACACCAAATGGTGCAACTGCAGAGCACACAGCACTGCAGACAGTGATATATACAGAGCGTATGAAAAGTTTGCTCTGACACACCAGCCATGCGTACAATCAAAGGTGTGCACATTTTAGAAACATCAGCCTCCCTGAAACCTCAATGACTTAGCAATAAAACATCAGGAAATGATAAGTCAAGGTCAGAAAGGTCTGAGAATTCCACACAGCTGAAATAAAGATTGAGCAAGAGGAATCAGCATCAAGAAATCAGATTCAGATGTTTAAAGCTGGTTGTCTGAACCAAGTTAATATAATGCACCATGTGTCACTTCAAAACGTTTGGATTGTGCAGCTGGGAAGCCCTTCCCATGATTGTGAAATACAGCAATTCACTATATCTGAGAAGGCTGGGATGGACATGTCTGCCTGGACACGGGCAGGCTATAAATGATGAATTGGGATTACAGCCTTTAATGTCCCAGTCCAGTTTTACCAGTTCCCCAAACCACTAGCACAGAAAACAAGCCCTGCAGCAAGGCCTTATGAAGATTCTACCTTCACATATTCTGGACTTGCTTTCTCTCTCCATTCATCTCCCCACAGACTGAAAATGCTCACACTCTTTTTTCCAACTGTGAAGCACTGATGATCTGCACCCCTTGCTCTCTTACTTTCATCCTATTTAAAAGAATCCCTATTCAGCTACCCAGTCTTTTCAAGGAAAATTATCCTCTCTCTGTCCATTCTACCAAGTCTAGAGTTCATGGCTCTAGAAAATAATGTTTTAAATCTGTCAGTACTATGGGACAATCACACTTTCACTCATCCTTACACTGCATATAAGGAAGCCCTCACCCGTATGAATGCAGACCAGCATAACAACCACCTGTGTGGGACACTAAGTCTGCAAAACTTGCACAATTTCACTGCTAATTTTTTTAGTCTCAGTTGGATTTATATCAGCTTACAGATACACATGCATTGTACATGCTCCTTCAGCCTAGCAAAGAAATCAAAGAATGCAGCAGCGCTCACCTGAAATCCACACCTCACAGGATATGAGAATGCCATAGGTATGAGGGTTTCGCAAAATGGCAACATGTTTGTTTTGTGGATCTGTGAAATTATATAGCTGGTAGGAATGGCTCTTTCCTAGAAAAAGGTCACACACTCATCCTTGGGTGAGAAACTGATTAACTAGAGATCAGAATAAATTCTGTACTCTTCCATGCACTGTTTGTGGTGACCAGTTCTGGATTGGGGTGATGGTGTACGCACAGAAATATTTGACAATACAGGTATTCGGCTCTCATATCATAGCTCTTTTCTCCTGTTCTATTCACATGCATTTTCATAGCAGCTGGACATGCTGCTGGACATGCATGCTGGACATTATACAGTTATATATATATATATATATATATACAGTTATGGGCTAAAACTCCCTGGTACATTTCTAATAAAGCCAAAGACAAATGTGACACTGTGATTTATGTTGTGAACAAAACAGACCACGGAGTGTTCTCTCCCCCATCAGCAAACGGCACAGCAGAGCTTTTATACCTGGCAAGCTCCTCTCCCACAGCCACCTCCACACAAAAAAAGGTGGCCAGCCTAAGGAGCAGCATCTCAGGGAGGGCTCACAGGCAACAGGCAGAGCTGTGCCGAGGGATGCTGGAAGCTGGGCCCTCTCCTGGGGCAGCTAGAACCAAGACAAAGACATTTTTTTCATCTCCAGCACTTGCTGATTTCCGAAGACACTGTGTAAAATTCAGCATCTTCTGTCACTTGAAGCTGAAGTGCACAGCCTGGGTTTTACGCTCTGGCTATGGGAAGTTGATTGGGGTTTGCTCTGTTGCTGACAGCTTGAAATTTCCATTTGCAGCTCCTTCCTGTTTCCTTTTCAGACATGCATCATACAAACCCAGAGAGGCTGCAGAAATGTACCAAAATGATGAGAAGAGAGGACATTCCTTACCACAAAGAAGTTTTTAGTATGCCTAGTCAACACTGAAGCAGCAGAAGCAGACCTGGGCTGGCACTTCTCATACCCACATCCTGCAGATATGTACCTTGGTGCTGATGGCTACCTGAACTACATGCCTACAGCTCCCATCTCACCTGGGATGCCATCTGGCATTCTCAGGCATCAGAATTTAGGGACTAGGAAGTATGCTGGGGTATTTTAAAAAAAATTTAAAACTTGCAGCATTGCTGCTGCCTCATAGAGAGTTGGGTCATTCACTGCTAGTTGTGAAAGGGACATGTGTATGCTGGGGAGGCATACATCCCACATGTCCCCAGCATGGGATGGGACTTCTAGGAGGGATCACTTGCATATATATATACACCAGACACATCCCTGATTTCATATGTATGCCACATGGGAAGGCAGGACTTGCTGCCTGGAGCCCATATATGCCCACAAGCCCTCCAGTCCCGAGGTCCCCTGGCCACATGGCATTCCACTATGGCTGGGGATTTCCTAGCCATACAGAACCTCACCATGCCTGGCAGGGAGAGCTGATGGAATCCATGGCACTGTCCCCCCTTGCTACAGCTGTGCACAAGAGCTTTGGCTGTCTCCAGTGTCGCTTTGCCTCACCCTATCAGCACAGAGAGTGAGTGGTGCCAGCCACATTGTGAGGAGCATGCTCTTCCAATGTCATCTCCAATATGAGATGACATATCTAATACAAGGGAGGAATTTTAGT